ATCGCTCCGCTCAGAATCTAAAAGTTTGCTTTTTAGAGTAACTAACTCACTGGATTTAGGTTATTTGGGACTGTTGCTATTTTTCGTTGTTAGAAGATTTCGATTTATAGGGGTCCGTTATAAGGAGGTTTTACTGTACATACTAACATATCAGACATTCGTATATTGATAAATGAAAGACATTATTTTCTCGAACTGAATTGTTGGCATTTTTTGTAGTGCCATCGTAATGTGTAATTCACTTGCTGAGTATAATATTATCATTAGCGTAATTTGAGGGGGTCAAATTATCCAAAGACTAATGTATTCCGCTTTGCCTTATATCTTAATTTTACTGATCTACTCAGTAAACATGCATCCGATAATTGTGCGAGTTCCAATAGTCTGGTAAATTCTGAAATGACAACATTGCGATTGAATATAATATATAATATATGGTTGAAAACCGACAATATATAGTGCGTGTTCGATACGTACATTACGACATTACGGTTATACTAGCAATCAAATGACGTAATATCAGCACACCCTCATTAAAACTATAAACTTAATATGAAATATGTATATAATAATGTTCCGTCTATATTTAGCGAGACGCGTTCCTACCCCTCGATCCTTATCTCCACAGAGTTCAATAAAAATATATAAAGTGACCGGATGAGTAGACGTTTCCAAGTATATAGTAAAGCGTTTTTCCATTCCCACCCCTAACCCATTACATCTGCTCAATCCAACGATAGTGTGCGTGTGTCCAGCCATTATATATTGTGCGTGCCCCCACTGCTACCATTCTACAGTCAACACGGTGGTTGCGTGTCTGCCCATCACCCCCCTCAATACTATCAACAAGAAAACCTAGTCGCTACCTCACCGCACCAACCACCACAGAAAATGGGGTTGTCCCAGGTCATGGACCCGGCTTAGGCTCGTTCAGTAGTCTCAGGTGCCTCTTGTTAATAATGTAATTATTATTATTCATATATATAGGTACTAGCAATTTTCGAAAATCCGAAAATTTGAAAATTGTTAATATTATATGATAGTAGAAAATTTAAGAAATATTCTCATGACAGCAAATTCTCAAAAATCATATTTTTTTTAAATGTATTACGTTCCAAATTAATTTA